TTACTTAATAAAAGTTTTTATAAAATTAAATATAAAAAAAATTTGCCATTAAGTTTATATATAATTTTAAAAATATATCGTCTACCTTTAAAATAAACTACTTACAATATTTTTGTATAATCTTTTTGGTTAATCTTTAATATAAATGGGTATATATAAGAGGTGTAGTGACTTAGTGAAGTGGTGAAGTTGTCGCACCTCCAAGTGGCAAAAACAGAGTTCGAATTCTATCAGCGATAAAAATTCGAATTCTCAGTACAGTATTACGGCAACTGTAAATGTAAGGACAGATCGACATCTGTAACTAGGTTATACCAGCTCATACTGGGAGACTGTAAAACAATAGTGTAATATACAAGTTATACAAAACCCAAGTGAAGCAGTTGTATAAATCTGAGATTGGCGCATTAGAAGCCTGCTTGGCAAGACCCGAGTAGAGAAGTAGCACAGATCTTTGACGGTACTATGTAAAAGATTATCAACCAGGATACCAAAGAACCGAACAGAACCGAAGTGTTTGGCAAAACACTCCACCAACCAGGCTGCCGGAGAGTAACCAGAGGAAAAGGACCCAATTGTGGGGACCAAGGGCAGATCACAGCTCTTCCAGGCCATTTGGATTGGAAGTTTGGGACGACAGGTGTATAGAGAATAGTCCGTATAGTGGATGCTGAGGTTTGGGTGAACTTTGCAAGAGCACAGAGTAGGTAATGGTAGCGGAGGTAAAAAGCTACAAGTACTTGACCTCGACTTAGATATAAGTTACCGAAAATCTAGATGATACATGCATGAGACATGGACCACTCTAGTAGGTTTATTACGAGAATAAAGGACCCCCTATATGGAAGTGTATGTCTGCTTTAAAGTTCTAAGAGGCCTTCCTGGCAGTTCCTCTTTGAGAAGAATATCCAATGGTGCTAAGTTGATCAGAAGGTTTAAATAAATAATCCCTTAGTTGAGTTATAGGTATAGCATCTAGTGTAGTTCATATGGGTTACATATACAAGACTGCTTAAATAGACAACCAAAAGTTGTATATATGGCTAGTTGTACTCTCATTAATGTAACAAAGTCAGGGGTAGCTTAAATGTGTTGCTCTGACATTCGAATCAAAGTTTAATAAAACATGCTAGACCCCTAAGTGGTCACCTTAATATTAAAAAAAAAAAAAAAAAAAAGAGTATATATAATTATTATACAATTATAATATATATAAATTAACTATGTTAAGCTAATTTAGATAATTTTATAAATTATTAAAGTTAGAGTTAAGGTTAAAATTTAAATTGGCTTAAATTAGTTAAGTTTCATATATTATAATCTTGTAATAATTTATAAATATTCACCTATACTAAAGAAGATCCAAATTTTAAGAATAATAAGATTTTATAGAATTTTTTTAATAAAATTTTATAAAATCTTATTATTTTCAAAGTTTTACTAATTAATTTTAACTTTATATACTAAGTAAATTTGTTTAATATCTAAAAATATATACATATATATTTAAATTCAATCTAGTTTGCAAACTTTAAACTAAAACCAAATTTAACTAAAAAGTTTGTATATTAAAGTTTGAGTATAGTCCAAAAATCAAACTAAACTTAATAGACAAATCACAAGTCACCTAAACAAATATATTTTTTTTTATATGTAAATTTTACTATAAGCTAAATGTACAGCGCTTCTATCTAAAACTTTTTTTTACTAAGTAAATCACTCTTAGGTTTATAATAAAAGTTGTAGAGCTCATCAAGATGCATTTAATAGTGAAAGAACACTAAAATCAGTCTGGTGGTTTTTGAGAAATCTTTAAAAACTTCTTTCTTACATATAAAATTTCTTTAAAAAAAATCGATTTTTTTAAAGAAATTTTATATGTGAAAAAAAGTTTTTTAAAGATTTCTCAAGAACCACCAAACCGATTTTAGTGTTCTTTTACTATTGAATGCATCTTGATGAGCTCTACAACTTTTGTTACAAGCCCAAGAATGATTTACTTAGTAAAAAAAAAAGTTTTAAATAGAAGCACTGCACATTCAGGCTTATAGTAAAATTTACATATAAAAAAAAATATATTTGTTTAGGTGACTCGCGATTTGTCTATTAAGTTATTTATAAAAATACTATTTTTAATAATCAAAAAGATTTTTATTAAACTTTGATTTAAAAAAAGATTTTTAATAAACAAAAAATCATAATCTAATTTAATTTATAATTATTAAATTTAGCTTAGCCTAGCCTGGCCCAATCCACAATTATAAAATTTTAGGCCTAGCCCAGCCCGCAAATATAAAATTTAATTGTTAGGCCCGGCCCAGCCCACAAACTAGGCTGGGCGGGCCTGGGCCGAACCGGGTTTCAAGACCTCTAATATTGGGTGATATTACCACAGGTGAAAATTAATTATAACCATTTTAAAATTAATAAAAAAAATTTTATCAAATTTGATTAAATATTTGTTAAGATATTTCAATTTAAAAATTAAAAAAATTTTACTTAAATATTTTCTTTTTTCTATTATATCCTTCATATAATCACTATTTTTTGTATCTCGAAGATATAATTATAGAAAGGTTTGACTATATTATAATAAATAAAAAATTGGATAAAAAAAACTATATAGTATAAAACTATTTATAAATTATTAATGAAATTATTGACCGGCTAAGCGGCTAACTTAATCAATATATATAACAACCAATTAGCTTTAAATAAAAATACTAATAAAATTAAAATATTTGGTATAAAGCATAATTTTTTGTTTTTATTAATAAAAAGAAGGTCAATCCGGTAATTCGCGTGTACTTATTGCTTTGTAAATTTCTAAAAAATAACATATTTATATATTTATAAACTTATGATTTTTATTATATAGTTATTTTGATTGGTTAATATTAATGCATTATTGTATTCAATTCAATGAAGTATGGTCAACAACACTGTTCTATGGCATTTTTTACAATATGCATCATTTTAGGATCCAAATTTAATGCTAAAGTAAAGTTTTGCGTAGCTTTAGTTCTTTCACCCATTGCTTTATGAATTTTCGCCATTAGGAAATAAACTTTTGGTTCATTTGGAACTGTCTTTTTAAGTTTTTCCAATTCTTCAAGTGCATCCTACAGAGATAAAGATATATATGTATATATATGTACATATAGAATAATTAAAAACTTTTAAAAAATTTCAAAGAAAAAAACCTTATATTGTTTATCTCTATATAAGGATTTCGCTTTTTTGAATATAGCTAACGGTGTTTGTGGAGTAACTTGGCACGCACGATCATAAAGAGCACGTGCTTCTTCAACTTTACCCATCTTTTCTAATACCTAACATAAATAGTAATATATGTCACTATTATTATTTCCAAGATAATATTTCTGAAATTAGTTTACCTTCCCCAAGCAGCACATAAGAACTGCATGATTTGGGTTGATTTTCATCGCCATCCTGTAATTTTTCTCTGCTTCATACGTTTTGCCGCATGTGATGTAATAATTAGCAAGACCGTACCTAAGCATTGATGTTAATTTTTTAATTAAATCAATTAATTATGAGTTATTGATATTGTAAATTATAAAAAAACACCTTACAGTGCATTATAATGTCGATTATTAGTATTTAACGCGTTTCTAAAATGTCTTTGGGCATCTTTGTAATTTGCATTAGCCATACTTTCGTGACCAGACAAAGTATGCGCGTAAGTGAATGACTGGTCAAGTTGTATCGCCCGCCGAAAGCATTTCAATGCTACATCATGTTCTTGTTGTCTACTAAAACAATTACCAACAGCACACCAAGTTTGAGGTGATCTACGCTCGAACTCTATTAGCTCATGCGCTAGAGCACTAAGAGCAGTATCTTTACGCAAATGCCATAATGTTGTGGAATATAATTCCATATCCTCAAGACGATATGGTTCAAGTTGACGCGCTTTCTGAAAGTAATGCTCAGCCTTTGTGGATTTGATATATAATGAAGATAGGGTTAAATAACTGTAATATGGTTATAGTACAATTGTAAAAGTGCATACCACAGGGTAATTAACCATTTCAAAATGGGCCTTCGCCGTATGGCTTTGAACCCACGCTGTATTATTTTGTGAAGGTGGAAGCTCCGAAAAAGCTTCAATCGCTTTGGCGCATTCATATTGACTTAAATACCCGTAACCCTTAGCCAATTGCTTTAGCAAATGCAGGAATTCATTATTATCCGATTTTAAATCTGTGTCATCTATTTTGTCTAATTCCAGATTGATCTGAGGACTTAATGTGGTTTTTTGCAGAGCTTCCGCCTATAAATTTTAAATAAATTTAGAGCCTTAGTATAAAAGAAATATTAGTTAGCAAGCTTTTACAATATTCGGTCTTACTACTTCATTTTCGACATTTGTAGTTGTTTTTTCTTCCCTTGGTACTTTGGACCATTTCTTTTCCTCATCTAAGCCTATAAGAATTCTTTCATCATTAGCAATTCGAGATCTTTTTTTTTCTCTTTCCGTTACAGATGTAGATATCAATGGCTATTAATGTGAATATATAAATATGGTCAATCTAAAAAATAACAAATTTATTTTTGTTTTTGCCAATTTAAAGATAAAATGTGAAATTGTAGACCTTCAATGAAGAAATCTGTATACTTCTCCTCGAACCTTTTTCAACCTTTAAACTCTATGAAAAAATAACCATAAATCATTTATTATAAGATGCTTAATAATGGAAGATACAAGAATAACGTACGCATACCGATTGCGGTACAAACATTTGTGAATTACGAAATAAATCGGCGCACGGTATTCTTGTAGATTTTTCATTGGTAGACTGGAATATTTCGTCAATGTCAACTTGATTTGATTTACCTGATAAATAAACGTGAATGAGATGCTTTAAGATATTATAATGTACTTATAACCCGTATAGGATCTTGCAATAAAGAAAAATACCAAGCTGACAAAGACTTTCAAAGGCTTCCCACATATAAGGATTTTTTTTAATACAACAAAGGTAATGCTGGGCGGCTTCTTCAGGTCGCTTGGCCTGTTTGCACAAAGCACCTAGAAGGCACAAGATAGATGACGCGTCTGGTTGATTATTTTTGGATATATGAGCGAAAGTATCTGCAAAAATAAAAACAAAGATGGATCAATAAAGTCGAGAACGTTAA